CTAAGGCAAGAACCATAGGATAAAAGGAGGAAATGATGTTTGTTAGTTGAAACCATGTAAGGGGACTTGTATTGGTGATATGAGTAATGAAGTAAAGGAAAGCTATATTGTATAGATGTATGCATGAGACTTGGAAGGGAAGAAATTTCATGGATTCATAGATTTGAAAGATTCATTAGATTCATGTTTTATCAAATTAGATCAGGATATATGCATAAAAATGGTATAGGGATCAATTGAGGGTAGGGATGCATAATTCTGGAAATTTCTAGCAGCATCAGAAGCAAAAGCACGGTTTGACTGTGGTAAAACACGATCGGGCAAATTAAGTAAAAGGCCCTGAAATTTCCCAAGCATTTGTTCAAAATCTGGTTTGGTCAGACAACTTGAATTGAATGTCAAATACAAACCACTGGCCCAAAATGGTATGAAATATGGATATGTTGAAGCCCTGTGAATCTAGTTTAAGTAGAAAAAATTATCGATCAATTTGGTTAAAATTTGAGAAAGAAATTTCCAAAATCGTGGAAGGGGGTAAATTACACGGGCTGAAAACGTGACTGCGTTTTTGGTCAAAATGGCCGCATTTTCACTTATGAGGTCTGAAAGGAAAACATGGATATGATAAAATTACCGTGTTTTTGGCGTGTCGATCATGTTTTTCAGGGATCTGATCGTGTTTTACACTGTTTGGCTAGAAATGCATATTTTGACACAAAATCGAACATATTGACCCCATATGCAATTATATGACTATCATGCTTGTTGTAAATGAATAAATGATTAAATATAATGATGATAAAGAGGAAGAACCAAGCCCAGGAGTCCTTAAAATGAAAATGATTTTCGGATTAGCGATCAAACAGCGAGGAAATTCTAACCTATTAAGCATATTAATATGAATATGGTATTCGGGTCATGAAGCGGCCCGAATACAATTTACAGGATTACGTGACATGGGATTAAGGATGATATTAAGATAACGTGACGAATGGATTGCTTATATGATGTGATGAATGACATAGTGATGATGTGAATTAATGATATGATGTGGAGTTATGGAATGTGATGGGATGGAACTTTGATTCGGTAATGCGTTGTTATAAGAAAATGGAATGTTTGTAATGCTGAGTTGATTTTGTGATTGGTAGTTATAAAATCCTAATCAGAGTATATCATACGTGATAATATGGTATTGGATAATATTTATGGATGTGACAGAATTTGGGATAGGTTAACAGGTTATAATATGGTATTGAAAAGCCGTGAGGTGTTTGTGTGATTTGGAATAGCCTATAAAGGCAATGAAATAGTAAATGGGAAGCCTATGAGGTGAGAACATCAAATTGGTAACATATAAGGAGAGAATACGGAATGTAAAGCCTATAAGGGGAGAATATGAAATGGGAAGCTTAATGAATCGATTGGCGGTGTCTAAGGCATCTATTGGACGGTGCTTTATGAATTTATTGGCGGTGCTTAATGCATCTATTGACGATGATTCATGCATCTACTGAATATACCAAGGGGAGTGCATGACCTAACAAAATAAAGGTTAAAAGATTTTATGTATGGCTAACTTTAAATGTGTGGATGTGTGTGGGCATTGGTCATTGGATTATGGATGGAGCTATGTGTGTGTGCGCCTTGGATATGATGTGATTATTTGATGATGTCTTTGTGGGGTTACAAAGATATAATGCTTGTGAGTGATGTGTTTTGAATTGGTTTTCCTATAATGTGATATAGAGTGATGTGTTCTGAGATTGTGTGATGGCCCTTTTATCATGTGATGGTATATAGATGGAAACGCTTTGTTCCTTATATTTTGAATGTGATTGATCGGGCCACGTGTGATTTGTATAAGTTACATGATTGAGATGAGAAACGTGGTAGATTTTACTATCTATAAGATTACAAAATTGGGTATGTATATGGAAAATGATTGGGACTATAAATTTTGAGGTAGAAGACATCACGGGAAACATATTTTGAGATTTTGCTTAGTAGACGGGATATGAGTTCACTCGTTACCATACTAGTATTGATATTGTTAATGTATTAAGATTTACTCATTGAATGATGTCTCAGCCCGTTAATATTTATTCCATATCTGTAGCTATAGTGTTGGAAGCCATGGGACGACACAAGTTCGAGTTTGATGAAGGCGAGGTAGGACAAACTAAACTCTCCACATTGTTTTACACGAGGCATTTGAAGATGGGGTTTCCAAAAAAAAATGAAATAGTCGATGATGATGATGCATACATTTCCAATTGTTCTAAATGGAGAAAAGTGGTTTGGTGCTAGAACCTTTTCTTCAGTCCAACACTAGAGAGCATGCACCTTGCTCTCTCCAACAATGACTGGTTCATCTTTTCTACTAACGCCATTATATTGTGGAGTGTCTCTAACAGTTCGATGACAGACAATCTCTTCATCCTTATAGAATTCGTTCAACTCAGAATAATAGAACTCCAGACCATTTCCCATTCGAAGTCTCTTGATCTTCTTTCCGGTCAGGTTCTCCACCAAGGCCTTCCACTGCTTGAACTTCTTGAGGTCTTCACTTTTCTGCTTCATCATGAAAATCCAACTAAATCTTAAGCAATCATCAATAATAGAAAGAAAATACATGTTGCCTCCAATAGAAAATACTGCGATATAGTTCCCAAACACACATTGGTTGCAGAATTCCAAACCTTAGACCTTGTGTCGCAAAGAAGATCTCTCTTCGACAAAACTATTGCATCCCCCGTTCATATGACCCAGAGTCATGTGCCAAAGAGGAGTCATATCTTCTTGATGAACATTTGGTGCCACGCTTCACGGCTTTCAATACTTTCCTTAAACCTTTGGAGACATAAACAACTCTACCTTTCCCCTTGAAATTGAGACCCTTGTGGTCGAGAAGCCTTAAAGAGATTAGATTCTCTGTGATTTGTGGAACATGTCTGATATAGTTCGCGGTACAAAATGAACCATCATTTTTTGAACCTTGATAGAACCGATTCTAACCTCTTTGCAAACAGATTCATTGGCCATAACCACGTCACCACCATATATCTGCACATAGGTTGAAAAACAATCCTTGGTCGGAGACATATAATATGAGGCTTCAATATCCAGAAATCACACATCACCACGATGTGTCTTCTCATCTATAGCCAAGGCGAGATTGTCTTCAGAACTATTGTCCACTTCTGCCACGACAATTGACCCTTGATTCTTCCGTTTCCATTTTCTTCTTTGACAATTGTACTTCCAATGTACCACTTCTTTCTAGATGTGACATGCATTGCTTGATTGTGGACTGGGACCCTTAGAATTCGAGGTCATGTTTGAATTCCCTTTACCAAATTTATTATTTCCCTTTCCACCTGTAACAGCCAACCCGATGCTTCACCACCTATACTAGATCCGGATGCCTTATGAGTGATCTCTCTCGTATGAAGAGCAGATTTGACATCTTCCAACAACAAGCTATATTTACCAACAATAAAAGAATCCACAAAATTCTCATATGAACCCAGCAAAGAAATAAGTAGGATTAGGGCATCATATTTATCATCAATGAACATCTATGTTACCCAAATCTAACAAGATGGAATTAAGTTGTTCCAAATTTCCCTCAAAGGGGTACCTTCTTGCATCCTCAATCTGGACAACTGTTGGTTGAGATGCAACTTGTTGGTTAAGGACTTTATCATATACAGACTTTCCACCTTCAACCACAAGCCAACAACGGTCTTCTCAGCAGAGACTTCAATGATGACTTCATCAAACAATGATAATATGATGGTCGAGTTGGCCTTCTCCTCTAGGGTACTTCACTTATTGTCATCGACCCATATCTTCTTCGATTTTCTGGACAACGGCCCCCACATCCCTTGTTGTTTCAATAGCGCCTATATCTTGATCTGCCATATATTGAAACTGTTCTTCCCCGTGACCTTTTGATCTTAATATTTACTGACGTTCTTCAATCTCGAAACCCTCACCTGATTTCCAACTGCGGCTCTGATACCACTTGTCATTATTGTTGCTACGAATTGGGAAATTGGAGAATTAACAAAGCAAGAAACGAAACAAGACACACGAATTCATGTGGTTTGCTCACCTGATGTGTGTTAGCTAGTCCACGGGCAGGAGAGAGCCAGTTTCACTATACTTTGAGTAGATACAGATTACAGAAGAGTATTATAAGTATTTATAGTACTTCTCCATGTGGTCTAACCCTAATCCAATGTGGTAAAGAGTATGGTTACAGTCGTCACCAGATAATTCGATTCAAGTCATATCAACAGTCGATGTGAAGGGCGTTATAATCTTTCGTTGCTTTTGAGAGATAGAGGGGAATACTTTATCGATTGTCGGCTGAAATTTTTATTTGGACCCATATAATAGTCATAACCAACATATATATTTTTGTACTGAAGGGGCTTCCCTAATTCCCTGTCAAGCTAGAAAATTTGAAAAGGAGAATTGATGTTACCATTTCAGATTAACATATTGTGTAGCGATGCAGAAGACTATATAGTGGAGTATCCTAAGGAATCTATCAGATGCCATACAAAATGAGAATATGTTGTGGATAAATTCAGAGGGATTGGTCACAAAGTTGTGAGTCTGTCTACAATAATACAATCCCTGAGTGATGACCAACTACTATCGGGTAAAGTCAGGACCGCAGAGGGAGGGAATGGCCATTGGCTAAGGGGGGGCACAAAGTGGGATAGAGACACCGGTCCATCATCAAGTTGTATGAGCAAATACAAAACAAACAAACCACAGTAGGCCATGACCCATGAATGATTTATGTGAAGTCGGGCAAGTTTGTCTGGCCGATTAATGACATTCCCTAATATTGACTTCAATCCTATAATCCACATTTAGATTTGATTCTTGTTAAGAATACAGCTTTCCATCATGTTTAAACTGTCACAGTGGTGCTCCTGCCCTTTATATTCCCTGCCAAGTGAGTTTTAGTTGCCTTGCACCCTTTTTCCTCTCTCTCTCTTCTCTCTCTCCAACTGATATTGAGAATGGAAGGTGGATTTCCAATGCTCAACTGTCTTCTGCAGTACACATTGAGGAGCTTGTGTTCATACCCACCATCATCAGATTCTAACTCAGCCAGCAGCTCCCCCAAATGGGCTTATGCTGTGTTCTGGAGAATACTGCCTAGGAACTACCCTCCTCCCAAGTAACAAAATTTACATATCAATCATCAAAACTTCTTGTGGTTTGGTCTTATGTTGGTGTTAAGCAGCACACTGTTTTGGTTGGTTTCAGGTGGGATTATGATGGAACAGCTTTTGGTCGCTCCAAAGCAAACAAAAGGAACTGGTAATGTACTGTAATCACTTGTCAGTAATGAAAAAGAAAGACACCTCTTGAGATTTGACTGAAAAGCTTTCATCTTTGGTTTCTGCTTGACCAAGGATCCTTGTCTGGGAAGATGGGTTCTGCGATTTCCTTGAATGTGATCAGAGGGCTGGAGGTGGGCGCATGAATGGTAAGTTTGGAGCTGATGTCTTCTTCAAATTGTCTCATGAGGTCTACAGCTATGGCGAAGGGTGAGTGAGTGGCCCTCCATCATTCTTTGGCAGCAAACACCCTATCAAAAGCTTTTCATTCAGGGATTGTTCTAACAAAAGCTGTGCAAAATGGTTTCAGATTAGTAGGGAAAGTTGCAGCAGATAAGAGTCACAAATGGGTGTTCAATGAATCAATCAATGAGCTTGATCCGAGAGTCCTCTCTTCATACAGCTTGACCACTGAAACTGTAAGAGTTTACCATTTTCATCAACTGTTTCAAATTATACTGCTTGAAACTTAGACTAACCAAATTTCCAACTGTTTCATATATAGCAACCCAGAGCATGGGAAAGCCAGTTCAATTCAGGCATTCAGGTTGGTTGGTTGGAAATTATCAAATTGGTTTAAGAGGCAGTTATTTAAGTTGGTTACTAAACAAACTCTTTTCCTGACTGAAACAGACAATTGCCATCATTTCAGTCAGAGAAGGCATCATTCAGCTAGGCTCCTTTGAGAAGGTCTCAACTTTCCAGTCCAATGACTTCCCATTTTTTTCACTGTCTAAAATCTTGAACATGCTATGAAGTTTCACATTCCTCCATCCAAAAACCCCCCCTTAACCAATCTTTTTTGTCTTGTATCTTCATGACTTACTAGATCATGGAAAACCTCAACATGGTGACTAGCATTCAAAGGAAGTTCAGTTATCTCCACAGCATACCATTACCAGGGGCATTACTTGCCGTACAAAGACCACTCTTACATGAACTGGCTCTTCTTCCTATGGCGGACGATAAGCACAGCCAAATGATTGGAATGAAGAGAGTGTTCGATAAAAGAATGGCTAATGATTTCCTCGCGAAGTCACAGAATGGAGGAGCTCAAGAGCAATGTACGTTCTCCATACCGCCTCTCTTGCCCACCACCATGTACACTTGCAGCTTTGGAGCTCTCCTGTCAAAGCTTCCTTCCCCTTATATCCAAACTACTGGAGATGGAGCTGTTTTAGATAGCTACAGCCATAGCAAAACTAACAAGAAGGTCAAGTTCGAAGATGAGGGTGATCGATGCTGCTGATAGCCAGGAAACATTGGCTTCTCTAGCCATTTCTAAATGATGCAACCAGCTCTCTAGTAAGTGGGTGTGAGTGAGACTTTGTTGAAGTGTTTTTGTGTATGGTTTTCTACTTATATCTTGTTAATAAACAAGTATGCAATCTAGTACTCTAGTTATTATGAGTAATATTTGTGAAAGTGTGCAATAATATCCCATATGGGAGATAAAGCAGTTCAATGTGATGGTATCTTTTTTCATCCATGGTGGTAGGGTTAACCAAAATTGGTGGTCGTTTGCTCTATATCCTTCTCATATAGCAAGGCTACAGTTGTGAATCCTAGAAAATATCTAAATGGATCAATCGAACAGGACAGAACAATGAATAATTGAATTCTATGTTATTAAGTTATCTCCTCCACCAGACAATAAGATATATATATATAGTAAGTATTAGTAGCCTTGGTAACTTCCATACATTACTAAGATGCCTTAATCCTGAAGCAATCCTAAATAATGCAAGAGCAATTCAAATGTGACTAAGTAGCAAGTACCGAAAAGAAAAGATGAAAAGCAGAAGAGCTGATATTGATTGATTTGGAGAAATTACAGCAGAGTGTATCATTTGACTAATTCCCACAGGCATTTACAAATCAACGAGAAGATAATTTATCTGGAAGCGCCTGATTAGTATCTCCTGTTAAACCAAATCCCAACCATTTAACATTAATTACTACAGTACAGGGGTTGCCATTATTTACATAAACCAGTGTATCTGCGAATCAAACCCAACATCCCATCTTCCCCCAATCACTGAAATTCAAATGCGAAGCAGAGAAAGAAGAAACCAAAAGGTATAGAGGAGAGCCACACCACTGCTGCAGCACAATGCCTCAACCTCCCTTCTCCAAGTTTCCACTATTCCACCATTGATGCGAGTGGGAAAGCTCCATTAAACTTGCAGCTTAAGCCTTGCTCTTCCTGCCAAGAAGAGCCTCAAGAGGAAACCGAGGCTTGGCCCTGTTGCTCTTCATCGCCTTCACCGCCAATGGGTTGTTTGCACTCTGTGCCATACACGAAAACCAAACGTTACAAGAAGCTCAGAGGAGAAAACAAGTTATTAAAAAAAAAAACATAGGGTTGGTTGGGGTTTAAGGTTTTTTCTTTTACCATCATGCAGGTGCCCTGGTTAACATTGCAGACAGGGTACTCATGCGGGCAGCAGCTGTAGTGATCCTCGCAGCAGGTGGCGCCATCCAGAGGGCAGCATCCCCATTCGAAACAGTACTTCCCGAACTCGAAGATGCAGCAGCAGGTTTCACTGGCGGGGCATGAATAGTAATCGTCGCAGACGCTGGGAGGAGTGACTGGAGTTGGTGGGGATGGACCAGGGTTCGGTGGGTTCTCGCCGTTCTTGATCGGGTAAGAAGGCTCCATCGCAATGCCGCACAGGCCAGTCTTCGCGGCGATGTTCCTCTCCATTCTCAGGTACCCGCTCTCTCCCCAGCTTTTGCCCCATGAGTTCCTGACGATCCAGTAATCCTTCCCTCCCTCGGATCCATATCCCACTACTCCCACTCCGTGATCCAGTTGGGTTCCGCATGGCCCGCTGAATATTCCCTGTGAGGTAAAAGCAAAGCACATTTATTTGATTGAATGAACTCACTCATGGCAAATGTTGGATTGCACCACAAAGTTGTCATCTTGCTGAATTGACACAGAGCATGTTTATCTAGTAAAATTCTGAAACTTTAGCACAATAAATTTTGGGTTAGATGGTTTTAACACAAATACACACACTGCCTGGTAGATATCTGCCACCTCCAATTTTGGTTCATCAGTCTGGAGTTTTGAAAGCAAGGTGTAAGAGAAGGGCTCACCGAAGTGTAGAACTGGAAGCCTCTGCCACCAGCTTCAATGGCGACGGCGATGGGTTGGCTTGCAGCAGCCTTCTGCAAGGCGGCTTCGTCGTTGATGGGAACATCCTCATAGTTGTCAATCGAAACCACCTTGGCATTGTTTTTCTGTGGGACATGAATACGAAAGTGTGAGTGAAGGTGTCACAGAAGGACTAGTCATCCCTGCAACATAACAAGGTAAAGAACACAGAGAAGATGGGGCAGTAGTACCCTGTAAGAGTCGCATCTGCCGTCGTATCCTGTGTAAGGGTAGTCCACGTCGGTGTCAATACCACCGTTCTTGATGATGAACTGGAATGCATAGTCCATAAGTCCTCCGTTGCACCCTTCATTGTAGGAAGTATCACAGTCTACAAGCTCCTGCTCGGAGAGGGTGATGAGATCCCCTGTTACGATCTGGTTGATTCCTTCCACGGAGGCCACCGTAGAGAACGCCCAGCAGCTTCCTGTTTCACCATCACCAAACAAAACCCCAATCAATCTCTCAATTAATCAAGCGCTAATCAAGTATTAAATATTTCTAACTTTTCGTAACCCATTACGCCCAAAGTGATCAAGTGATAATTGAGTAGGATTAGACAAAGGACAGCTGCAGCCTGCAGGTGGAGATATTTTAATGGGCCTTAAAAAGCTGATAGGAAACTGGTGGGCCAGTCTCGCCCGAAAGTGGGGCCCACTCACCAGACTTTTAGGGAATCTCGAGTTATAATAAAAAAAATTCCATCCTTTTTTTCACCCATTGGGCCACAAAGGTTGTCAAACCGGTTTATGCCGGTGCGCCGGTTTTGTAAGTGAAATGGTTCAACCGTGGTACAACCAGTTGTCCATACCGGTCATGCCGGTTTTAATAAAATATTTAAGAATTAATATATAAATACAAACTAACAAAGGTGAAGGAAGAATCCAACCCCAACAATACAATCTAACGGACCAAAAACAAAGAATCCAACACCAACAGAAACCCTTTTCACTCCTCTCGGACCTCCATTTTTGGTTGTGGTTTTTTTATATGCAGATGGCAGAGAAGGGAATTTTCAATTTTGTTTTGTAAATTGAATGGAAGGCCAAACGCCCAAACCTCTGCCTCTCTACCTCCCAACTACTTCCCCTCCGCAAGCTCTGATCTTTTCGCCTCTGCCGCTGCTCTAGTTAACGGTGGCCACCATGCCTCAGTATGCTCTGCTCGCCGCTACAAGCCGGTGAAGATGAAATCGATGCTACCGCTCTATCTCCCTATCCTCCTCCTCCCCCTCTCCCGCCTCTACCGCCTGGATCACGGCTCACAGCCTTCCTATTCATCGCCGCAGATCTGTCTGCTTCCCTGAATTTGGGAAACCATCCCAAAGCAAAGAAAGGAGAATAGGAGATTGAAGAACAAGGAAGTCGCGGAACGGAAACCATCAAAAGAAACAAAAAAAATCTAATTGAAAATGACGCAGGGCCGGAAAGCTACCATTCCGGTTGGACCACCGAAATTTCGGGTTTTGACCGGATTTGACCGGCTTTGACCGGCTTTGACCTTAGCTTAATACCGGTGGTATTCCAGCCGGTTTTGTGACCGGTACCGGTTGAACCTGGTACAACCGGCCGGCATACCACCGGCATGAACAACAACCCATACACAATAATTTCGAATCTGGATCAACAAATTAATTAAATAAAAAATATAAATCTTATCCCGGATTCCCGGGACTCCGATTGCTACACGCCACTATGCGTCTCTGCCGGACTCGCCGGCGGGTCAACGACTGACACTCGGCTTTCTGCTGGTTCAAACTCAGTGACTCACTGAGTCGCCCAGCTCTAAATTGGACTGCTAAATTACAAGAGCAACTCCCATAGCGGAAAGTCCACAAAAATCCGATTCAAATCCAGATTCCTGAACTAATTAAGATCGATTACCTTACCTAAATTAATTCATAAATCGGTCTAGATAGGAAGAAATCGACGGCGATTAATTCGATCAAAGAGCGAAGAAAATCTCGGATTGGAATGGAATGGAATCTCCGACTTACCGCAGCCGCCTTGGTCCTTGACTTCGGCGACGGCGCCTTTCTCCCTCCAGTCGATGGAGTCAGGGAGGGACTCGCCGACGCGCGGGGCGTACCGATCGGAAGGCTTGGGCTCGCGAAGCGGCTTCCCCTGGCCTGCGCGGACTCCGAGGTACTTGGAGCGGTACTCGTCGTTGGTGAGATCGGCGAACTTGTTGAGGCCGACGGTGTAGGACTGGTTCAAGGAGTTGTGGCCGTCGATGAAACGGAGGTTGTCTTTGAAGATCTGGAAGCGCCTCTCCTTCTCTCCGAGCGCGTTGTAGGACTTGCCGTGCTTGGCCAGCCAGTCCTCGTAGATCGTCATGACCTCGTCGTCGGTCCTCCAGCTGGAATCGGCGTCCGGGTGGGTTAGGTCGTAGGAGACTATGGACATGTCCAGCGCGGAAGAGAGGGTGAAGGCGAAGCAGAGTAGGAGTAACATCGCCGACGAAGATCTGAGAGACCCCATGGCTGTATTGGGTTTGGTGTCTGGTTTGTGATTGTTTGGGTGGGAGATGAATTTGGAGGAGATGGTGGTGGGGAGGGCAGTGGGGTTTTATAAAGGGAAAGGAAATGGGGGAGTAGTAGAGTGACAACTGCGAATTCTTTTTTTTTTTTTAGTTTTTTTCTGAATGAATTTTTTTTTCCTGAATGAATTTCGAGTGAATGAACGGGGATAGTGGATACTTGGATTAATCAAATAATTAATTGATTTTTTTAGGAAAAATAATTAATTGATTTTAAGTGTAGATAATGTGAGCCTTACTTTCTTGATATTTTCTATGCTTGGAAGTGGAACACGTGACGTGAGTACAAAAATCAGGTTCAATACAAAATTACAAACAAATACAAGTTGAATCTGTGTGATTATAGTGAGGGTTGGGGTTAGGGATAACAATTTCGACCTGACCCGTTTTATTCGACTTGTTTGGTCTGTTTTGGGACGAGTCTGACTCGTCCTGTAGGCGGGGGCGGGGCGGGAATGGGTACTCTCATAGACCCGACCCGACCTGCCCTGACCCGCCTCATTCTAGATCCGTTCTTGCCTAAATTACTTGTAATCTTAGTCAAATTACTAAAGATTTTCCTTTTATTACATCATATGTTAGCTATAATAAATTTGTAAATTAGTGAAAACCTCAATTTCTCCAATAATTTAACTACATTTATCATAATATTGTTTGTTTTCTTGATCTTATAATAAAAATAACGAATGTTTCTAATGTTTTCATATAAATTGCATACTCATTAGACCGACCTACCCCGACTCGTGACCCGTAATAAATTATCTTACATGAACCCAACCTACTATAGAGCGGATTTGGATACCAAGAAACCCGCCCCGGACCTGTACCATTACCCTTCCTAGTAGGGTAATGTGGAAAACATCTACTATACCGATATTTAACTTTTGGGGCTAGCAACAAACAGGAAAAAGTTTATATGACTATTTTCTCTACAATTAAATATATATATATAGAAAGATTTTTGCTGCTTAAAAAGTATCTATGATTCAGTTTTGACTTGGAATATTAACCTTAAATTAAAATGTTCAGCAATGGACTGTGCCAAATTATAAGGGTCAACAATTTCTTCAATACTGAAAAGCATGTTTATGCAATGCAAAATCAATATGTTACATTCTAGATGGACATACATTGTATTGTTTGAATTATGTCAATTTGCACTCTGAATTCATAAATATACAATTAATTCTATAAGTCTAACTCTATGGACGGTAATATTGAATCATTTTACTTCTAATTTGGATCAATTGAAGTAAGAAAATAATAAACTACGTAAAAAATCCCGCATAGGGTTATGTAATGCATTAAGTTGCTTTTGGGTCGGCATTAACGCACTAAATAGAAATTAAAAACTAGTAAGTCAATTTTGATGCATCATTCTGCATATGGTATTTTGGAACAATATAATACATTATTTGAGATATATATTTCTTATTTATTTCAAATAACTACCCTAATGTTATTTCAAATCAATAAAAATGATTCAATTGAAATAATTTCAGCTTCAAAGATCACATTTTAAAATAAGAAACTTATAAATAATTTGAATAAAAATAACTCATTATAGTATCTCATCCAAAGTCCAATTATTAGGGAGACTTAAAATGTCTAATAAGTACCAACAATTCTACCTCCCAAAAACAAGAAAAGCAGATTAGGGCTTTGAGGATCGATTTACGAATTGAAAGAGAGGAGGTAGCAGACAAAGGAAGGTAGGAGTGGAGTAGTAGAGGAAGTCACCAAGTGGATGACCTACAATTGGCGGAGAGAGAGAGAGAGAGAGCCCAATTCCCACAAGAAACCACGCGCTAGTTAAGGTTGAGATTGAGGCTTCACGCGCTGCGTTTGGGCCGGATAAGGCACTGCTACGGACCAATATCGGCCCATTAAAAGAGAGGGAAAGAAAGTTTGAAAACAGAAAGAAGGAATCTATTGGCAAAACGTGCGTTTTGGAAACGACCACGTATTGCGCCTCCATACCGCGGAGGAGGGCTGGCAGCCTGGCAGTGTGTTTGGATTGTTTTTGTTTGGGGGGAAAAGGGATGGGTTAACGGAGGAGCTTCCCACTCCGGTGATTGTTACTTCTCCTGCTCTGCCTCTCTGGCCTCTTTTTTGTCCGTTTGGGTTTGGTTACTTGGATAGATGCACCCATTTACTCCATTCTCAATTCTACAAATAACTCCAATTATAAGGACATTATATGTGAAAGTGACAATTTATTAAAAGTAAAAAATAATTTGCATAGAAAGGGACCATCAAATTTGTAGTTTATTGATAACATAATTTTTTTAATGTAAAATAAATATTTATTATATTTTTTTATAAGGATGATATAAGTTTACTTTTTGTTTAGGTTCTAATTAATGGATTCGAACATGAGACATCCATGTTCAAAGTCAGTGGTATAATTAATAAAAAAATTATTATTTTTAATTGGCACGCTAGATTGTTAATGGTAAAACATTACACTTAACTATCGTATAGGATATATCTGACGGAATTGGACAGGTGACAATTAAAAATGTCTTAAAACATAAAAATCATCATGAATGAGTAAGGAAACAACTTTGAATGACAAACATGAACCTGAGTAACCAAACATGCAATTCACCCTATTATAATATATATATATTGACAAAGGAGATGATATAGATTTGACGTAATAGACCAAAACTCTGTGGTTGATTTGTGCAAGTAACTAATTCTGGCATTTTACCGATCATTTCATTTCAACTCTCTCACCTAAGCCCTTCCAAAAGTCTGATCGAGACCCGCCGGATAAGCAGATTTTTTCGCTAAAGTGAAAGGCGGTTTGTAATTCAAAGGCTTCAAATACACTCCAAAAACTTCCCGATAGCCGATTAAACAAAAGGGACAAGACTCGCAAGATCCAATCTTCTGTAATGCTATGATAAGATCGTGAATTATTATACGTTGGTATTATGTGAAAATGAAAGTGGTGAGAAAAACTTCCTATTGATTCATAAAGTTATAGGCGGTTTTAGCAATATGGAATAGTTGAACTTTAGTTAAATTATGATTTCAATTCAAAATATCATATCACAAACTTTTTCAATACAAATTCTGATACGGTTTGAAAATTCTTAAAAAAATAAAATCTCTATCAATGAGTTACAAGAATAATTAACATCAAGCTAAATACGCATTTTAATGCAAATTTAATATTGAAACCTGTGGCTCAAAATCCATATCACTGAAACATGCCCCAAGGATGAGCACTCGATTTCAGTTCGGAACCTTTGAAAGATATTTTATCACAAGTTCACAACCCATCGGTTCATGCGGTTCAATTTGGATTGCTCATTTTATTTTAATTTTAATAATTAGTAATTACTTTGACGATGCATTATTGTTAGGGGTGTGCATATGAGTGGTTAATTCGCGGATTGATATCGATCCACCCGCAAATAAACCGACTCGTACGAAGTGGGTAATTGATGTGGGTGGATTGCGGCTTGATAAATCTCTCACACGCACTTATGTGGGTGGGTGGTGGGTGGATTGCGGGTCACTGGTATGACCCGCATCCTATTTATATATGAAAAAATGTTGTTTTTGTAGTATCGAATATTCATCATATTCTCGAACTACACTACAATCTGACCATATACTTCAAAAGGTGGAGAATAAAGAATAGTTTTGACTATTATTATTGGTTATTATGTTGTGCAATATCCATTACATATTGGATATTAGTATGCAAATTATTGTTAATATTCATTAAATATTAGGATGGAAACTCTAAATTAGTAATTGTATCGAAATCACAAATTATTGATAAAATCTTACTAATTTGCTATGAACTTATTATAAATGTTAGTCAACTTTCTTAATGGTTGTTGGAGAATTGCTTTTGCGGGTTGACCCGCGACTCAACCGCTCCCATCCGCCATCCACCCAACACAACCCGCATAAGTATGTGGGTGGATTGCTGGTCACAATTATTCCAACTCGCTAGTAAGCTGGTAGTTCAATTTGAGACCAAAATCCACCCAATCCACCCATTGCCCACCCCTAATTATTGCCCACGGTTGAATTTGGGATGCATGATTGGACATTGGACAACCAAATACTGAATTATGTTTTAACTTAACTAGGTGAGGATACCGCGACTTGTCGCGGGTGGAGATGGCCTATCAACATGTATTATGCGACCCGTTTATGGTGTTTTGTAAGTATAATTAGCCTAAAATTAATTTTTTGTTAGCAATTTTGTTAGTAATATTGACTTGACAAATATGATATAGAATGAGAATAGATATGTGACGGTCAACACATAAATGGGTTTGGAAGTTTGAAGATGGGTTTGGGCAGAGTATGAATATTTACTTTCATAATCTAAATGTGTATGAGTTGGGCATGGATACCCATTTATTCGAAGGTGTTTTAATTACACATATAAATCTTAGACCTATTTGTAGAACTTCAAAAGTTCAGGTACTAAGATGTAATACACAAAAAATTAGGTACTAAAATGTAATATCCACAAACATTTTGAGGACTTATATGCGAAAAAAAAGAAATTCGGGTTATAAATCTAAATATCTACTAAGTTTTAGTATCAAATTGTAATTTGCATAGTTGAGGCTTAATTCCTTTTATGGTGATGTATTTAAGATGATAATTATTTATTTTTACGTACCAAAGTATAATTTTTCCAATGATATTTTTCGTATAAAAAATAAATTTTAGGTATCAAAATGTAAAAAATAAAAATTATAGGTATTAAACTATAATTTGTCAACAATCCATGAATCTACAGTCCAATTGAATTTAAAATCAAATGGATTGTATTTAAATTGATTCAATTAATTGAATATTTTTAATGAATTGGTGAATTCTCAAAATCTTAACATAAATTTTCTTTTAGAAATCACCAATCCTGCGACAGATTCCATTCACACTCCCAAGATACAGCACTACAATTTTCACCACCTGTCCAGAACAACCCCTTGCAAGATGTCAACTTGATCAAACTCAAACTTAACTAAAAATGTATTATTAGCCCAAAAATAAGCTTTTATTACAGTAATATTATTAATTCAATAATAACTATTAAGATGTCTACAGAATCACCATTGAAAGTCAAAAAACTC